GTATCAAATATCAAACCCAGTATCAAATATTAAACCCAGTATCAAACCCAGCACCAAACCCGGTATCAAACATCACCCCCTGAGCCGGTGCCCATTGTCCCTGTGAGCAGGAGCCCAGCCCAGCCCGGTTCTCACCATCCTTTTGTTGTCCTGTTTGTTGATGCTCACTGTGGCCTCCTTGATGACAATGTGGGTGATTTCAGGGAAATACGAGAAGTTGTTCCACGTCTCCCGTAGTTTGTGTTTCTCTTCCTCCTTTTTGCTTTTGCTGTCGGATTTTTTCTTCTTCTCCTTCTCTGTCTGCACAGGCTGCAGATAGATTTGGGATAAAASCATTAATAAAAACATTTTTAGCACGGTGTTTTTACTCTGAACCAAAAATTCATTCTGTAATTATAGAAGAATGATATAAAATATGGAATAGAATGTATTGTGATATACAAAATAAAGCTGTTTCATTCTGGAATGATTTTGCAGAGCCTTTCATTTTCCTGTTGAGAAGGTTGCTCACAGAGGTTATCCCAGGTCCATCCTTGGAATTTTTCAGGATAAAAGCCCAGATAAACCTAGTCTGGTGTCCAAGCTAAGCCTGGAAARCGAGTTGGGCTGGAATTTCCTGAGGTCCTTCCAACCTGGACAATCCTAAAAAAGCCCCTCCCATAAAAAGCTCCTCTGCAGTGTCTGACCACCACAACCATTTTTTAACAGCTGTTAAATCCTAAAAAAAWCCCTSAAATTCCCATTGATCAAGGRMTACTCACACTYGGCTTGAGCCTCCACTGAATCCCGTTGTTCCCTGTGACCATCACCTCGTACTTCTCATTATCTCCACAATTAAATTTATTTATCTCATTCTCAGAGGAAATCACCAAGAACGAGGTCTCAAAGATCTCAGCCCCGTAATGCTTGGTCAGGATCTCCATGGTGGATAAATATTTGACCTTCAGGTCACGGGGAGAGACGCTGTTGTTGCAGATGGTTTTGTTGTTGAACTCTTTGAGGAAATGCTTGAAGACGTTATTGATGCGGATCCTGGTCAGGAAATTCCTCTGCCGGATGGTTTTGTTCAGAGTTTCGGGGATGTAATGCTTGTAGCTGGAAGGAAAAAACCAGGCTGGGGGTGGAATTGTTGCTGGAGAGGGGCAGCCCCAGCTCCTGTGGGGCCCAAAGTGATGCCTGATGATTTCTGCTTTTCCTTTTTAYGTTTTCTATGCATTCTCTGTACCACTTAGCCCATATGTTTGTAGYCTGATATTCCAGTTTAATTTAGGAATTCTGCTGAGCAGAGACCAATCATCCTCAGGAAGGGATCAATGTGTCCTGTGCTGTCTTAAACCTGAGCTCAGCCTTCTGTTGACAGAAGGTTGAGCCTTCTGTCCAGAACATTTTGTGTAAACTGAGCTCTGGCCTCATCCAGGATTCATTAGAATAGAGGGACATTGCTGCATTTGTTGGGTTTTTTATTGGGGAATCCTAGATAGATATGCTAATTCCTGAAATCTATAAAACTTGTTTGTTATTAGAGAATCCTAGATAGAAATGCTAATTCCTGAAATGTATAAAACCTGTATCTGTGCTATATAAGGAGTGCATTCTGCCATTGAGTTGTGCACCTGGGATCCCAAATACTGAGGTAAAACCCTTTTTATCCCCTAAACTGTGTGTCATTATTAAAAACTGGCCTTTCAAGGCAACACTATATTCCAGCTTAATTTAGGAATTGTGCTGAGCAGAGACCAAACACTCTCAGTCAGGGCTCAGTGTGCCCTGTGCTGTCTTAAACCCGAGCTCAGCCTTGGGTGAAGCCTTCTGTCCAGAACATCCTGACCTCATCCAGGATTCATTAGAATTGGGGGACATTTCTGCATTTGTTGGGTTTTTTTATTGGGGAATCCTAGATAGATATGCTAATTCCTGAAATCTATAAAATTGATACCCATGCAATACACGGGTGTGCATTCTGCCATTGAGTTGTGCACCTGGGATCCCAAACACTGAGGGAAAACCCTTTTTATCCCCTAAACTGTGTCATTATTAAAAASTGGCCATTCAAGGCAATAAAAGGATCCAGCCCCCTCACCTGATCTCCTTGGGGAGCTCTGGCAGCTTCACGTTCTTCTTGATGGCATCGTGGGAGATGGCCAGGACAGCCATGCCCAGGCACTCATTCTCAATCTCGTGCACCTCCTGCTCATTCCTGGGCTCCCTGATGGGTGCCAGCCCCTTCACCAGGTCATACTGGCCCTAAAGAGACACAAAAAAAACCCAAATTGCTGTTAGGCTTTGCCAGAGTTTGTCTCAGAGCTGGGAATCCTTCCCGGGATCCCAAGATCTCCTCAGGTAAGGAGCAGCTGGGACCTCATCCCCTTCAGAATTGTTCTTGCTCCCCTAACTCTAGATTCATTTATTCATTTATTGCCTGGTTTCATTTTTTCCTTCTTCCCTTTCCTTGCTGCAATTCTACTCAGAGCGAACAGCAAATTAATAAATGATAATTCAATGTTCTTATTTAATCAAAATGAATTTTCCCCCTTTTTTGTGAAACCAGGCAGCTTCAGGGTTCAAAAATCCTTTAGAAGGCACAAGAGGAGAACAGAACTGCAGGTGAGCAAGCATTGGGATTATCAATATCTATCACCATGGGATTATCAATCAATTTTAATCACCATGGGGTTATCAATATCTTTATCCCCACAGGGTTATCAATCAATTTTTATCACCGTGGGGTTATCAATACCTTTATCACCATGGAGTTATCAATCAATTTTTATCACCATGGGGTTATTAATTAATCATTTTTTATCACCATGGGGTTATTAATTAATCAATTTTAATCACCATGGGGTTATCAATCAATCACTCAATCAATCTTTGTCCCCACAGGGTTATCAATCAATTTTTATCACAATGGGGTCATCAGTGTCTTTATCCCCATGGCATTATCAATCAATCAATCAATCAATCAATCAATCAATATATTTTTCACCATGGGATTATCAATCAATCTTTACCACCATGGGGTTATCAGTCAAACAATCAATCAATCTTTAACCCCATGGGATTATCAACCAATCTTTATCACCAGGGGCTTACCAATAACTTTATCTCCATGGGGATATCAACACCTTTATCACCATGGAGTTATCAATCAATTTTTATCCCCATGGGGTTATCAATCAATCAATCTTTATCACCACAGGGTTATCAATCATTTTCTCCAAGGGGTTATCAATCAGTCAATGTTTATCAATCTTTTAACAACCCCCAGTAAAAAAACCCCATTGAAAGGCCCCAGCCCTGCTGCTCCTCTCCATCCCCCGATATCAAAATTCTGTGTCAATGTCTCACAAAAGGAGACTGACAGCATTTATAATCACAAATAATTCATTTCAGACTGAAATATTTATAAAATAATTTCCTTTTTACACTTTTGAGTTTCCTCCTGTCATTAACTGAACTCCCTTCTCTCCACCAAGCAGCACCACGAACAAAACCCTTTCTTTTCACGAGCATTTCAAGAGTTTTTTAAAGCAAAATCCCACATTTTAGTGTGAATTTGGTGCCAACCTGTGCAAAGATGTACTCCAGGGAGTTGGCATCCAGGATGGGGGTCCCCTCTGGTGCCAGTTTTTTGTCGTAGGCTTTGGCTCTTCGGGGCGAGTGACGCCACACCGATGGCTCACCCTCGCTGGTCCCGTGCCAGTTGGTGAAGTAGTACCTGAAAAAAGGGTCAAAACATCAAAAATTTAGAAATGGGGGAAAAAAAACCAAAAAGCTTTAAAAATTGTAAAAAATTGCGCAAAAAAAAAGTTTAAAAATAGTCAAAAAACTCCCAAAAACCCTTTAAAAATAGCAAAAACACTCTCAAAATGCCTTAAAAATAGTAAAAAAACTCCCAAAACCTTTTAAAAATAGTAAAAAGACTCCAAAAACCCTTTAAAAACAGTCAGCTCCCAAAACCTTAGAAGCGGGAAAAAAAAATCCTGAAAAAGCTTTAAAAATAGTAAAAAAAGTCGTCAAAAATAGTAAAAAATCTCCCAAAACCCTTTAAAAACAGTAAAAAGACTCCTGAAAATTTTTAAAAATAGTAAAAAAACTCACCAGAACCTTTAAAAACAGTCAGCTCCCAAAACCTTAGAAATGGGAAAAAAAATCCCGAAAAAGCTTTAAAAATACTAAAAAAACTTGCAAAGAAAGTTTAAAAATAGTAAAAAACTCCCAAAACCTTAAAAACAGTAAAAAACTCCCAAAAATCTTTAAAAATAGTAAAAAAACTCCCAAAACCTTAGAAACGGGAAAAAAATCCCAAAAAGCTTTAAAAATAGTAAAAAAACTTGCAAAAAAAGTTTAAAAATAGTAAAAAAACTTGCAAAAAAAGTTTAAAAATAGTAAAAAAACTCCCAAAAACCCTTTAAAAATAGCAAAAATACTCCCAAAATGCTTTAAAAATAGTAAAACACTCCCAAAACCTTTTAAAAATAGTAAAAAGACTCCAAAAACCCTTTAAAAATAGTCAGCAACTCCCAAAACATTTCAGAACAGTAAAAAACTCCCAAAACTTCTAAAGAAACAACTCCCAAAATCTTTAAAAAAGTTGTTAACCCCTAAAACCATTCAAAACAGTAAAAAACTTCCAAAACTTTCAGAGTCATCAGCTCCCAAAACTTTTAAAAAGTCACAAACTTCCAAAACTTCTAAAAGAGTAAAAAACTTACAAAACTTTTAAACAGTCATCAGCTCCCAAAACTTTTAAAGTCATCAACTTCTAAAACTTTAAAAAAAAAGAGCAAAAAACTTCCAAAAGGTTTAAAAGGAGTAAAAAACTTCCAAAGCTTTCAGGCAAAGCCTCCATTTCCATCAGTTAAAAGCAAAAATGGGTCAAATTTCTGCCTTAAGGTGGGGTGGGATGGGATTTGGGATTTGGGATGGGATTTGGGATTTCCCTTTTCCACACCAGGAAACAAACCCCGCAGTTCAGAGTTAAACTCCTCCCTCCTCCGTGTGCCAACAACTCCAGGATGTTACAAAACCCTGGGGTTTCCCTANTTTATCAATCTTTTAACAACCCCCAGTAAAAAAAACCCCATTGAAAGGCCCCAGCCCTGCTGCTCCTCTCCATCCCCCGATATCAAAATTCTGTGTCAATGTCTCACAAAAGGAGACTGACAGCATTTATAATCACAAATAATTCATTTCAGACTGAAATATTTATAAAATAATTTCCTTTTTACACTTTTGAGTTTCCTCCTGTCATTAACTGAACTCCCTTCTCTCCACCAAGCAGCACCACGAACAAAACCCTTTCTTTTCACGAGCATTTCAAGAGTTTTTTAAAGCAAAATCCCACATTTTAGTGTGAATTTGGTGCCAACCTGTGCAAAGATGTACTCCAGGGAGTTGGCATCCAGGATGGGGGTCCCCTCTGGTGCCAGTTTTTTGTCGTAGGCTTTGGCTCTTCGGGGCGAGTGACGCCACACCGATGGCTCACCCTCGCTGGTCCCGTGCCAGTTGGTGAAGTAGTACCTGAAAAAAGGGTCAAAACATCAAAAATTTAGAAATGGGGGAAAAAAAACCAAAAAGCTTTAAAAATTGTAAAAAATTGCGCAAAAAAAAAGTTTAAAAATAGTCAAAAAACTCCCAAAAACCCTTTAAAAATAGCAAAAACACTCTCAAAATGCCTTAAAAATAGTAAAAAAACTCCCAAAACCTTTTAAAAATAGTAAAAAGACTCCAAAAACCCTTTAAAAACAGTCAGCTCCCAAAACCTTAGAAGCGGGAAAAAAAAATCCTGAAAAAGCTTTAAAAATAGTAAAAAAAGTCGTCAAAAATAGTAAAAAAACTCCCAAAACCTTTAAAAACAGTAAAAAAACTCCCGAAAATTTTTAAAAATAGTAAAAAAACTCACCAGAACCTTTAAAACCAATCAGCTCCCAAAAGCTTAGAAACAGGGGAAAAAAAATCCCGAAAAAACTTTAAAAATAGTAAAAAAACTCGTCAAAAATAGTAAAAAAACTCCCAAAACCCTTTAAAAACAGTAAAAAGACTCCTGAAAATTTTTAAAAATAGTAAAAAAACTCACCAGAACCTTTAAAAACAGTGAGCTCTCAAAACCTTAGAAACGGGAAAAAAAATCCCGAAAAAGCTTTAAAAATAGTAAAAAAACTCGCAAAAAAACTTTAAAAATAGTAAAAAACTCCCAAAACCTTAAAAACAGTAAAAAACTCCCAAAAATCTTTAAAAATAGTAAAAAAACTCCAAAAACCTTAGAAACGGGAAAAAAATCCCAAAAAGCTTTAAAAATAGTAAAAAAACTCACAAAGAAAGTTTAAAAATAGTCAAAAAACTCCCAAAAACCCTTTAAAAATAGCAAAAACATTCCCAAAATGCTTTAAAAATAGTAAAACACTCCCAAAACCTTTTAAAAATAGTAAAAAGACTCCAAAAACCCTTTAAAAATAGTCAGCAACTCCCAAAACATTTCAGAACAGTAAAAAACTCCCAAAACTTCTAAAGAAACAACTCCCAAAATCTTTAAAAAAGTTGTTAACCCCTAAAACCATTCAAAACAGTAAAAAACTTCCAAAACTTTCAGAGTCATCAGCTCCCAAAACTTTTAAAAAGTCACAAACTTCCAAAACTTCTAAAAGAGTAAAAAACTTACAAAACTTTTAAACAGTCATCAGCTCCCAAAACTTTTAAAGTCATCAACTTCTAAAACTTTAAAAAAAAAGAGCAAAAAACTTCCAAAAGGTTTAAAAGGAGTAAAAAACTTCCAAAGCTTTCAGGCAAAGCCTCCATTTCCATCAGTTAAAAGCAAAAATGGGTCAAATTTCTGCCTTAAGGTGGGGTGGGATGGGATTTGGGATTTGGGATGGGATTTGGGATTTCCCTTTTCCACACCAGGAAACAAACCCCGCAGTTCAGAGTTAAACTCCTCCCTCCTCCGTGTGCCAACAACTCCAGGATGTTACAAAACCCTGGGGTTTCCCTATTTTTTATTTTTTTTTTAAATAAAAAACTTGAGAAAACTTTAAAAAGCTCACTAAGTTTCAGTGAAAAACCCTTTTAAAACATCCCCAAAAATAAAAGCACCTGGTATTGAGCTGGTGGGGAGAGGAGGAGGAGGAAAAATTCAAAACAAAAATTTTCAGCAGTGGGAGAAAAGTCCAAACCCCTAAAACACCAAAATCTGGTCACAGTGGAATAATTTGATTTTCCCAATCTTTTCCCCACTCACATCCAGGTCACACCAGGATGGATCCTTATAATCCTAAAGAATCCCAAAAACCTTATAATCCTAAAGAATCCCAAAAACCTTATAATCCTAAAGAATCCCAAAAGCCAAATCCTGCTGCTTTTCCCTTTCCAGTAAAAATTCCCACTGATTCCGGCAGGAATGGGAACGTTTCAAATGGGAATTCACCCAGAAAAACACGGATTTGGAGCTGATTTTCCCATTAATTTTGACTTTGTTCACTCYCAGCTTTGTGGAGACAAAATTCAGAGCAAACTCCTCGTGGTTTCTCAGCTTCTAATTTGATTTTTTTATTTTTTCTGTAACCATTTTTCCAAGGTTTAACCCCAAATACAAGCAGGAATCAGGAAATATTTTAATATTCYCTTCAAACCACACCACTGCTTTCACTTCTCTCCCTCAGGAACACCCAGAATTCCCATTTTTCCCCATTTTCCAGGTGTTTTTTC